TATAGTCTCATATGCATCTGACAGTTGGACAATGACTAAGGAAGGCCCTAGAAGAACTGCTGCAATTGAGTTATGGTATTGGAGAAGAATGTTGAAAGTACCATGGATTCTCAGAAAAACAAACAAATCTATGTCTGAAGACGTACAGCTAGCATGTTCCTTAGAAGTCAAGATGGTGAGAATTTGTCTCTCATATTTCAGACATGTTATTAGGAAGAACAGTCCCTGAAGAAGGACATTATGCTTGGTAAAGTGGAGGGGCATCAAAAAAGACCAAGACCCCCAAGGAGATGGACTGACACAGTGGCAGCAGCAATGCACCCAAGCGTAACAATTGTGAGGATAGTGCAGGACCGGACAGTCTTTCTTTCTGTTATGCATAGGGTCGCTATGAGTTAGAATCGACTTGACAGCACCTAAGAACCACAACACGTAGTACCTGAGGACATAGGTGTTTAGTGGTAGATTTCTTGCCTCCTATGCAGGAGATCTGGGTTCAATTTCCAAGCATTCCTCGTGTGCAACCTCTACTCTCTGCCAGATAAGGAATATGGTGTTATGAAGCTAAACAAGCTTCAGCTTCCATGCTAAAATGGACTGATAAACAGAAGTCTGGCAATCATTTTCTGGTCATCAGCTAATGAAAACCATATGGATCCAACAACAGTTGGATCCCTAATCAATCATGGGGTATGGTGTAGGACTGGACAGCATTTTGTTCTACTGTGCATGAAGTCCTGATGAGTTGGGGACCCTCTGGATGGCAGCAAAAAATACAACTGTGATATGAGGAAGGGAATCACCCATGCCACTTCTGCTCTTGGAATATGAATGACATTTTCCAATAGTGTACATTTAATGCCTGTCCCCATAAAGATTTACAGTCTTGGAAACCTACAGGCTTCCTATGAGTCAGAATTGGCTTGATGATGGGTTTGGTTTTTGGTTTGTATAGTGGAATTGAAAATCTGTTATTAGATAACAGACTCTATGTATGGTATGTTTCACTACATAACTCTTAAGAGGCAAGCCTTATTAGTTGGTATAAAAACTCCTACAAGCATGCTTTGAGGAAGAGTTCCTGGTTTGCTTTTTCTTAGTACCCCAGAGCTTGAGGTCCCCTTCATTATTGCTTTGTCCTGAGGTGGGGATAGAGGATGAGAGAAAGGGTAAACAAGGAAGCATAAATGTTTTTTTGATGCTACAGCCCCATCCATCTATCTTTCCCATTGACTTCCTACTCTCAGCTGCTCTAAATGAGGGGACATTAGCTTGAGACCTGTCCTCCTGTCCCTGCTCTGCCTCTGCCCACTTCATGTTCATCTCTGTTATAACCTTGTCACATTGTATCATCATATTATTTACATATCTAACTCCCTTTCTATTGGGTGAGCTCCTCCAATGCAAGGAGTCTCATTCCTCTCTGTATTCCTGGGGTCTAAGTCAGTAACCCATGTAGATAAATATTACTGTGTGAATTGATGAGTGAAATCATCTATCCTTTGTGGACTGCAGTTTCCCTATCTATCAATGAAGTGGTGTGACAAGAAAGGATGATCTCTGAGGTGTCTTCCAGCTCTGACACTCTGTGACATCATGAACCCAAGGTGCAAAGTATTAAGCAATGACTCATTCTCTAGCTTTTCACGAGACATCAGCAATTCAGACACCTTCTATATCATTAGTCTCTTCAGACATAAATGAAAATGAGTAGTTGTAAATAGAAGAAAATAAAATCGAGTGAAACATGTTATTAAGTGCTGTGGAGTTGGTTCCAACTCATAACAACCCTGTATAGGGTTTCTGAGGAGCAGCTGTTGAGTTTGAACTGCTGACATTGCAGTTCAAACTGACCTTGCAGTCCAGCACATTATCCTGCAACACCTCATCATAAGTTATTATAAAGCAGTGTTATATCTCCTTGTGCTCTCATCCCATAATGATGTGCCATAATGATCCCATAATGATGTCGAGTCAGTTCCAACCCATAGCAACCCTGTATAGGATTTCCAAGGAGCAACTGGTGAGCTAAAGCCAACGACCTTGTGGTTCAAATGACTGTGCGGTCCAGCACATTAACCCACAGCACCAAATCAGGACTCCTCACCTCGTAATAACAAGGATTTATTATTATTATTATTATTATTATTATTATTGAGACTCTTTTATTAAGTCTAAAATGGGACAAAGGCAAGACAAAGATAAGTCATCTTGATGAGGGAAAGCATCAGTATGAGGCCATAATGGTGTCCAAAAGGTTCATGGGCACATTTCCTAGCAAAGATTTTTTAAAGTTGTTATTTTTAAGTGCCATCAAGTTGGTTCCAACTCACAGTGACCCCATAAAGGGTTTCCAAGGAGCGGCTGATAGGTTTGAATCACTGATCTTATAATTAGTCCAGTGCTTGTCCTAAAGTGCCACACCAAGACTCCATTTGAATTGCTAGGTTTCTACAAAAAGTTAAAAGTTATTTGAAGAAAATGTTTCTGTTGTGCTGTTGCTCTGGTTGATGACAATGGCTGATTTTTCAGAAGTAGATTGTCAGGTCATGAGATGCCTCTGGGTAGAATCAAACATCCAATGCTAACCATTTGTTCCACTCAGGGACTTCATTGTCCTGGGTAGCTCCTAAGCATTCTACTTCTCTGCTAGTGACTATTTGCCCTTGTGAAATCTTTGTTTTATCTTAAGACTTCCAAATAAGTGAACTACTAGGAAAATAATAAAGTCTAAAGTAACTCCATGGTCCTGTCCACTCATAATGTCAGTTATGGAATTAATGAATTAATAAAGAAATGTCCCTGTATCAATTCTGTGAGTAAGTGGTAGATTTTGAACCTTGGCTTCTGGATAAAATAGGTGGATCTCTAATAGACTATGTGAGTCACAGAAACAATGCTTCATGAGAAACAAAATTTAATGATCTGTAAATCTCTATATACTACGTACATTATAGTTAGCCTTATTTTTATTCTGGACATTGATTGATTAAAATAACATGTACATTGCACAGAAAGTAAAAGAAGATTTCCACATGAAAGATTGCTCCCAGGCACAAGCCTAAATCACTGAAATTAAAATGTCATCTGTTTTAGTTGACCTACTACATGATTCCCAGGAAAATTCTCAACAAGAGAGCCAAAAACTTCCTTCTAAGCAATAGCTATGTAGATTTCCTTTGTTGCATTGCCATCTCTTCATATCTGAATGCCAGATGTTGGCTTTGGGTCTTTCTTGCTTATCAAGGAGAGATTCTGAACCCTGTTGCACCAATGTTCTCATGAATGGTGGCCCGAGAATCTTCTAGATTCAGAATTTGGCTTTTGTACTTTTCACGCCAATCATCCACAATGTACTGGTGGTAGGGGTCATTGGAGTGCTCTTGCCTCTTGGATTTCACCGTACTCACCAGAATGGCTACAATGATGAATGAGAACATTCCAATCATCACCATGAGATACAAAATGACATAGTAGAAGTTCTCAGCATCAACCTTGGCTTGCAGGGCCTCTTGTTCGGCTGTGGTGTTCCTGCGCCAGTTGTCCATATAAGTAATAAAAATCTTCTTGAAGGCACCTTCCAGGATCTGGGTCAGATTAGATAAGGAAGGCATGTTTCCCTCCTGCTGTAATTTAAATGATAAAATAGATGAACAAAGTTAAGAATACAGATCCTTTCCTTATTTGACTACCTTTAGGAGGTTCAAAGGAGCTCTGGTAGAGTAGTGGTTACAAGTCGGGCTGCCAACCACAAGGTCAGCAGTTTGAAACTACCAGCGGTTCCTTGGAAGAAAGATGAGGTGTTCTGCTCCTGTAAAGATTTACAGCCTCGGAAACCCTGTGCAGGGTCACTATGCGTCAGAACCAACTCCACGGTACTTAACAACAACAACAAAGAAGTTTAAGAGGGGAAGTAATATTATTTTATCTTAACTTGGCTGATGATTGACCGAATGACTATTTTGTTATTCTTTAAACTGGTCATATACATGTTATTCCTTTTGGGCATGCCTGTTGTATTTGCAATAAAAATTTAAAAGAGTACATAAAACTGTATGCAATATAATGTCAATTATGTTTTATATACAAGTAGTCCCAACCTATGATGGGGTTCTGTTACAATGACTCCTGTTCTGCTGTAAGTTAATACATTGTTTTTGTTGCTTAGTTTTTATTGTTGTTACCTTTTATTATCAGTATCTTGTTCAATCTTTATTTGACTTTGAGGAATGGAAACATCACATCTGAGAATGATAACAATAGTGAATTACACATTTGCAGCATTATATGTAGTGTTGTTGTTAAGTGCCATTGAGTCAGTTCCTACTCATAGCGACCCTGGATAGCATTTCCAACAAGCAACTGGTGAGCTTGAATCTCCATTTGATGCATTTAAACTATGGCGTTGGTGAAGAGTATGAATGGTACAAACAAATCTGTCATGGAAGAAGTACAGCCAGAATGCTGCTTAGAATGGAGGAAGAAACTTCGTTTCACATACTTTGGACATGTTTTCAGTAGAGAACGGTTCTGAGGAATGACATATTTGGTAAAGAAGAGGGTCAGTGAACAAGAGAATGACTCTCAACAAGAAGGATCAATACGCTGGTTGTAACAATGGGCTCACACATATCTACCATTGTGAGGATAACACAGGACCAGACAGTGTTTTGTACTGTTGTACATAGCATTGTTGTGAGTCGGAACTGATTTGATAGCTCCTAGCAACAACAACATACCCGTGGATTCAATCTAATATAATCATCTTTCATGATACAATCAACGTGATGCAATAAATCAGTCAGTTGCAGTTATAACAGCGTAGGTAGATGCTATACCTAATTACTTCTGAGTTACAAATAAAACAGATAAGACATTCATGAAAGGGTCAGCAAGCAACCAAGGAAATACTGTGGTTACCAACAAAGAAGTAGACTGTGATTTGGACTTTTGGCTTTCAGAACTATGAGAAAATAAAGTTCTGTTCTTCAAAGTCACTTGCCTGTGGTATTTGTTTTACAGCAGTAATAGTTAACTAAGACAGGGTCTCAGTTGGATTAGTGAGAGGTCGTATATGATGTAGGTTCTGATCTAATGACTACTATCTTAATAAAAGATGAGAAGAGACATACAGACAGATATATTCGGATGCCCTGTGACTATGGAGACAGAGATTGGAGTGAAGCATCTATAAGCCAAGGAACAAATATTGCTGGTTTTGCTAGAAGCCAAGAGGAATTCATGGAACAGATTCTTCTCTAGAGCTTTTGGAGAGAGAATGACCCTGCCAATATCTTGATTTTGGAGTTCTAGTCCCCAGAACTGTGAGAGAATACATTTCTGTTGTCTTGAGCCACCTATCTTGTGGTAATTTGTAAGGGAGGCTCTGGGAAACAAATATAGCCACACTGATTGTCAACATTTTTCTGTGAATATCTTCATCATAGTTGTTATTAGGTGCCATTGAGTCGGTACCAACTCATAGCGACCTTATGCACAGCAATGAAACAGTGCCCGATCCTGGGCCAACCTCACTATCGTTGCCATGCTTGAGTACATTGATGCTGCCACTTTGCCAATCCATCTCGCTGGGGATCTTCCTCTTTTTCTCTGACCCTCCACCTTACCAAACATGATATCCTTCTCTAGCGATTGGTCTCTCCTGACAATATGTCCGAAGTATGAGAGACAAAGTTTGGCCATCTTGGCCGCCAAGGCGCACTCTGGCTGCACTTCTTCCAACACAGATCTGTTAGTTCTTTTGGCAGCCCATGGCTCTTTCAGTATTCTCCTCCAACAACATAACTCAAATGCATCAATTCTTCTATGGTCTTGCTTATTCACTGTCATAGTACCACAAGTGAAAAATCTAGTTCAGCACCTGACTTATAATAAATGTTCAGTGGTTAGTTCCTCTTTTCTGGGGAGTCCTGGAGTGGCGCCATGGGTTAATGCACTGGACTCAAAGTTGTTTGAACCACAAGGTCAGAGGTTCAAGCTCACCAGCCGCTCCTCAGAAACCGTACACAGGGTTGCTATGAGTCAGAACTGACTTGAGAGCACTTAACAACAAAAAGGATCTGAGAGAATGGGGCACAGGAAAGGTACGTGTTAATGTTTAGCTCAGCTATTTGGGGAGAGAGGGTGCCTCCAGGATAACCTTAAGATTCCAGAGTTGAAATGTGGATGGGTCATTTAAGAATTAAGAAGGTGCTGGCGGTGATTGTGTGCCACCTAGTTGGTTCCAACTCATAACGACCCTGTCTAGGGTTTCTGAGGCTCTAAGTCTGTTTGGGAGCAGAAAGTCTCATCTTTCTTCCACAGAGCAACTGGTAGATTCAAAGTACTGACCTTGAAGTTAGCAGCCTAGTTCATAAAGGAGGGGAGGGAGGGAATTCAAATCTGCTGCAAAAGACATCTGTAAAGTTCTAATGAGCAAAGATGCATAAAGAGCTCTAGAGAGCCAAGCCGTGGTCCTTTTTCAATTGCCTCAGTTGAAAATGCATGTGCAAACTGGACAATGAAAACAGATCAAAGAAGATTTGACATAGTTAAATTGAAATATTGCTGAAAAATAACATACTGAGGACTACCAGAGAATGAACAATCTATCTTAGAAGAAATACAATCAGAATCCTCTTTAGAAACAAGGAAGGTGAGACTCCAGTTCAGTTACTTTGGGCATCGGGAAAAGACCCGTCTCTAGAAAGGGCGTCATGTTTGGTGAAGTAGATGGAGAACCTTCATGAGATAGAATGACAAAATGGCCTCAGATATACCAACAGGCATGAAGATACTACAGGATTGGGTGGCTCCACACTCATTGAAAGGTTGATGGTTCAAATCCATGAAGAGTCACTTCAAGACAGGCCAGGTAATCCACATCCTTGAAACCCTATGGAGTACGGTTCTACTCTGACACACATGGGGCTGCTGATTCTAAGGCAATTAACAACACCAAAAAGGTGAAAATGGCGCCAGAAGAAAAGAGAAAAAAGCATTAAAGTAATCTTGAGCGCTTAACTTTTTTTTTTTTTTTTTTCTGTATTACGCTGCAGATGAAGAAAACTACAAAGGAACTGAGTGTTTCCCGACTCCAGGTGATAGTCTCTAATATTTTTTGAAACACAGGTCAGTTGTCACCTTGTCCATAGCTTTCCTGAGACTCTTCAGGTCTGGATTGGAGATCTCTTTGCACCCTCTGAGAACTATTATGCCTTTGTTCAATTAACTATTTGTTGTTGCTGTTAAGTGCCTTCAAATTGTTTCTGACTCATAGCGACCCTGTATAGGGTTCCCGAGGAGCAGTTGGTGGGTTTGAACTGCTGGCCTTGTGGTTCACAATCCAGTGCTGATCCACAGCACCATACCGTGTATTCTTGTGGTTCTCAAAATCACTCTATAAGACTGGAATTATTACCACTTTTATGGGGAAGCTGATGTTTAGAGAGACTAAGTAATATAAATGATAATTCTCTGAGAGCTTGAGACACTGGAGGGCAGGGATTATTTTATTCATTTTTAAATTTCCAGGGACTAGCACAGCAAAGGGCATATGGCATATTTCTCCTAGAAGTTAGATGAATGTTCCTCTTCTGTGTACTGCAGAACTCAATTGAAAACCACCAAAGCAGTCATTTTAATTGACTTAGGGGGAAGTTCATAGATACCATAAAATACTTATTTAAAAAAAAATTTTTTTTCCCCCTTTTCCCTAGAAAAGTATACATATATATGATATTCAATTCCAGAGGATTCCAAGGTCTCTGAAGCTCAAACAAGAATCTTTGCTACAAAATAACCTTGGGGTTAGGGAGCCCTTGCTGAGTTCCACTGTAGTTGTTTGATTTTGTTTCAGGGTGTGGCAGGCATGGCAGTGGCCACCAATCGCTAAGTGGCTAGCCCTGACAATTATTTGCTCAGCTCTTCTAACCTGAACAAAGCCCCACTGCTAATCAGATTAGGAGGTACTTTTTGATAAGATTTAATCATAAAGCTGAAAAGCCTATGGAGATTCAATACCTAAGTATGGACACTGGCCAGGCTGATAAAGACGGATCCAAGGGGAACTGAGCACTTTGATGCATAAGACATGGTTGAACAGACAGCTTTCTGTCCCATTATCCTAGGCAGGGGGAGAAAATCACAGTGTGGTAGCATGTCACTGACAAACTTTATGTTAAAACATAGTCAAAGTAAAAGTAAGTGGAATTCAATTTCTGACTTCCAATTAACTATTTAATTGACTATATTTGTTATACATACTGATCCTACTTGTAAGTAAAATATCATAATAGGTGCTTATTTTGGTGATCCTCAGGAACAGTGGCAATGAATGTTGCCTGATCCTGTACCATCCCCGTGATGGGTTGTGGATCAAACAGTGTTTTGTTGTGTGCCATAGGATTTTCAGAAATAGAATGCTGACATTGTGTTCTAGTCCGTCTCAGTCTAGAAGTTCCTTTGGAACCTGTAGAGCATCCTAGAAACAGCTGCACAGATGGGGTGGTACCTGAGCAGTATGTGCACTGGCTGGGGATTGAACCCAGGTCTCTTACATGGAAGACAAGAATTCTACCACTGAGCCACCAATGCCTTATTTAATTGTGCTTACCAAAACAAAACAAAACCTAGTGTCGTCAAGTTGATGTCGACTCATTGTGACCCTACAAGGCAGAATAGAACTTCCCCCATAGGGTTCCCAAGGCTGTAAGTCTTTACAGAAGTCACATCTTTCTCCCACTTGAGAAGTGGTTGGTGAGTTCAAACCACCACCTTTCAGCTAGCAGCTGAGTGCTTAACTACTGCATCACCAGGGCACCTTCAATTGTCCCTTGGCAATTGATTTATGTTCTATTGAAGCATATGAAATTGCCGTTTGTGTGGGTTAGAATGACCAATATTGGCAATTTCATATGATTCAACGTAATACAAGTGGACCTGAAGTTTCAATCAATGGTTCTTGCTCAGCCAGCTAACTGGATGGAACCATGGAGATGATTTAGACTGGCTGACTTAATTAGTAGATACAGTACCTATAGCCCAGAGAGCTTAAATCATCTGTTCAAAGTCCCAAGGCTCACAAGTTGGCAGAGTCACCCAGACCAGTGCCCAGCTCTGCCCTAGTAAATGTCATGCATTCAGGTTAAAGACTCAAGCCCCCGTTTCCATGGCCTGTGGTTTGTAGGTTCAATGGAGTAAAAGGAACAAGTCCAAGACCATGACTTGAACTCTCCCACATCAGTTAGTTGCCTTGTCACCAGCTGCCCCATCATAAATGTATATGATTTATGACAGGGCAATTTGGAACACTACAGAAAGGAGTGCCCATTTAATCCCAAATCCCCCAAATTCTCCTTTCTTGAAAGATAGCGGATCATTGACATCCCCTAGGTCTACAAAAGACAACAAAGTCTTTCATTATTTTTATCAAGAATATAAAAAGCTGTGATTACTCACATTTAGCATGAATATCTCATAAAAAACAACCCAAAAAGATTTCATCCAAAGTCAGTTATTGAAGAAACAAATAAGAAAAACACTATCAAATAAATAAAGGAGGCAGAAACTAGGCAGTATTTCAGACAAATCATAAAATAGTTTCTTTTATAATTTTCTGCAAAATGAAAGCAACTCTGCTTCTTAAGACTGCAAAAGAAAAGAAAGAATTTGCCATTAGAACTCACATGGTATGTCAGCAGTATGAATTCCTTGCTACAAAGTCAGACTGTTTTGAAGTTTTCTTGTCAGTATTAGCGAGCTTTTCAGGATTGTACATAAATCTTAGCCTGCTAGGCACCCTCAGAGTGGGAACAACTAAGCTCTTGCCAACCACGGTCTGGAACTCTACACTTTTATGAAATCAATTGTTTAATGTAATCTTATGTGGAAAGTCAAACACTGATTGGCAGTTGGGAATTAATCTTGGTGTTTGATGGAGTGTGCCTGCTTAGGCTCTGGCATTGACAGGGGTAGCATGAGTTCCCTTCGTGGGCCCTGGCCGAGACTGGGTTCTTTAGAGGTGCAAAACGTGCACATATAAATATATATATAGCGAGATTTAGTTCAAGGAAATAGTCCACACTTGTGGAGGCTGGTAAATCCTAATCTTTGGGTCAGATGTTAGACTGGAGGCTTCTCTTGACTCTCATGGTTGTAGGGGCTGACAAATCCCAACTTGGCAGGGCTTGTGCAAGGCTGCTGGCTCACAAGGGTGCTGGAGTTGGCAAATCCAAAATCTGCAGATTAGGTGGCAGGCTGCTGGTTCACATCCCAAGAACTGGAGATGAGGATGTCAAGGTGAATGCAAGTATTGAAAGAGTTGATCAGTCCAATGGAGTTGACATTGGCATTTACCAGCGTGACAACCCAATATAGAAGGTACTGTAAACATTACCCCTCAGGAAACTCCCCTTCCAACTGATGTGCTGCTCACAACGGATCATAAAATGGGGGGTGATTGTATACCATCTACCAAAACACTGAGACTCATGGCCTAGACAAGTTGACATGTATCATTCACTATCACAGGCACCATGATGTCAGCACCACCTAGGGTAGTACTTCTCCCCAGGAAGTCTTCCCAGCAGGACAGCCTCAGTGGATAGCGCTGTCTTCCCTGGAAGTCTGTCTGTCCAGAGATGAAAATGGCCATCTCTATGTGGTTGGTGTATATTGAGGTCAATATGATTCCAGACACATGCCCCTGTACTAATGACCTATCTGTAAACCAGCGTTTGTTTAAATTCCCCTTTCTTGAACGTGTCAATATGATTTTACAATGATGTTGTTGTCCTGTAAAATAGAAATGGTCACAAGGTAACTACGATATAGAGGAGATGGAAGCAGGCCCAATAAAGTGTGTGAAAACATAGAAGAGCTCTATTTACTCAGAGATTTTTTTTTTTTTCCCTAAAGTTTATTGTGAATTGAATGAAGGTTTACAGAGCAGATCATCAGTTTGACATTCAACAAATCATATTATTCATTCATTTCAGTGATTGCAATTCCTTCCATGTAACATCATTTATCCCTGTGGTTCTTGTTTCCATTCCACCCACATCCCCAACCTTTCTGAACTTTGTCCTTAGGTAAGTGTTACTCTTTTGATGGTGAATGGTTGACCATTCCATGGTGAGAATAACTTACTAGTGTTGCTGACCCCCTCTGTACCAATCTACTGCTTAGCTAAATATTGAACTATGAGGCTGAGTTCCATTCCAGACCTAAAGGTTGACTGAGGGTCATAGTCTCTGCTTCCTCCAGTCTCTTTATGACCAGTAAGCCTGGTCCTTTTTATAACTTTGAGTTTTGTTCCACATTTTCTCCCACTCTATCCAGACCTTCTAATGTGATTCATTTCAGAATGTGGTAGTGGTAGCCGGGCACCATCTAGCTCTTCTGGTCTCAGGGCCGTGGAGACTGATGGTCCATTGGATTGATCAACTCCAGGAGTCTTCCATTTTCCTCATTCTTCTTTCCTCTGCACAGGGAAAGAACACTAGTTGTACCTTAGATGGTTGCTCATGAGCTTTAAAGATCCCAGTTTCTATTCACCAAAGTAGGCATCTTCCAAGAGTATGGTCCTGAGATCCCAGGCCCACTAACTCATTCCCTCAAGGTGTTGGGTAATGTCTGAGAGGTTTTCATAACTGCTCCTTCATAACATACTCCACCACAGTCATAGATATGTTTGCAGTACAGGTAAATGTGTTGTTTGTTGCTAAGTGCCGTAAAGTCATAGTGACTGTGTATAGGGTTTCCAAGGAGCAGCTGGTAGGTTTGAACCATTGACTTGTGATTAGCAGTTCAATGCTTATCCTGAAGCACCACACCAGGACTCTAAAGGTAAATACCCATGTATAAATATCCTCTGTAAAACCTTTATGTATTTGTGGGTCTACTCCCACTTTCCCTCCGATACCTGTTCAGCCTGTGTATCTATCTGTGTATCTACCCATAGATCTATTGTTGCATGGGTGTGCTTTATAACAGTATTTACCTCTATTCCCTTTGACTCTTGCTCTCCCGCCTATGTCTTCCCTTGTCTTTGTCATTCTTCTGCTAACCTCCCTCTTGTTGTATAATGCCTCCTTCATCAGCCAGGTCAACACATGTATACCCTCTAGGAGAGAAATTACTCTTCCTTTCTTGTAACCATCAAAGAATGTTTTTTGTTTTTTTTTATCATGAAAACTTTTTCTTGACTTTTTACAATAGTTGTCTCATACAATATTTGTGATTGATTATCACTCAAAATAATGTTCTCCAGGTTCGTCCATGTTATGAGGTATTTCACAGATTCAGCATTATTCTTCAATGTTGTATCGTGTGTATGTACAAAAGTTTCTTTACCCATTCATTCACTGGTGGTCATTTAGGCTGGCTCTAGTGTTCTGCTGTTGTGAATAGTGTTGCGATGAACATGGGTGTGTCTTGGTTCTCTATTCATGTCTTGGTTTTTATTTCTTGAGGACATACACCAAGTAGAGGCATTGCTAGGTCATATGGTATTTCTATTTCAAACTTTTTGAGGACATGCCATGTCATTTTCCATAATGGCTGCACTATTTTATAGTTCCACCTGCAGTACAGGATGGTCCCAGTGTCTCCACACCCTCACCAGCACTTGTCGTTTTCTGTTTTTGTTGAACTTTGATATTAGTGCTGTGGTGACATGATATCTCATTGTTGTTTTGATTTGCATCTTTCTAAAGGCTAATGATGGTTAGCATTTCTTCATGTTTGTTGGCTACCTGAAAGTATTCTTTGATGGTGTGTCTGTTCATGTCTTCTGCCTATTTTTTGATTGGATTACTTGTCTTTTCTTGTTGAGCTTTCTAGAAATTTTAGAGATTACTCCTTTGTCTGATATGCATTGCAAAAAATTTTTTTCCCAGTCTGTAGGTTCTCCTTTCACTCTTTTGGTGAGATCTTTTGACACACACACAAGTGTCTAACATTTAGGAAGTCCCAGTCATCTATTTTATCTTCTGCTTTTATGTGCTTTCAGTTATGTTTGATAGTGTATTCATGCCATGTATCAAAGCACCTACACTTGTCCCTATTTTTTCATTGGTGATCTTTATTGTTATACACATTAAATTTAGGTCTTTAATCTACGTTGTTTGTTTTTGTGTATGGTGTGAGATATGGGCATTGTTTGATTTTTCTGTAAATGGATTTCTAGTTTTGCCAGCACCATTTGTTGAAGAGACAGTTTCTTCCCCATTTAATGTGTTTTGATACTTTGTCAAAGATTAACTGAGTGTAGGTGAATGGATTTACTTCTGGATTCCCAATTCTTTGCTGATTTTCGATCCATCTTTTGTTGTACGGCTACCAGGTTGTTTTGATTACTGTGTCTGTGTAGTAGGTTTTGAGATCAGGAAGTAAGAGGCTACCCCCTCTGTTCTTTTTTAGTAATATTTTGCTTATCTGGGGTCTCTTGCCTTTCTATATAGTTAGTGATTTGTTTTTCCATCTCTGAAAAGTGAGATTGGGCATCAAAAAGGAAGAGCATGAGTGGAGCATGAGATCCCTAACTAGAAAAACAGTGACAGCAGAGGTGGTGACAGAGGTGGTGGCATGGAGAG